TCAAACTAGCCAATTATGGTAGCAGAACTCTAAGCACCTGAGAGAGAGTGGGCACCTCCCAGAACATTGTTTTGTGCCACTCCCAACAGAAATACTCCAGGTGGACAACTTCAGCAATCAGGAGCTCCTCAGTTGCTGATAGCAAATTCCACCTTGGAGTTTACAAAGACTTATGGGTAGAAAAGCTACACAAAGTAATTTACTACACTGCAAATGGTAAGGTTAGAAAACAGTCAAATCATTTTTACTTTTATGCATAAATACTACCTGTATCATATATAAGCATTTTAATTTTAAAGATTGTACAAAAATGTTTAATGTAAATTGTATGTTTCATTTGTTTTATGTTATATGTTTCTTGTGGTCAGAGACCATGTCCTATTCACCAGGGAATATGTAGTAGCTGCTGAGTAAATATTGAATTGACTTGGATAAGTTAAAAGTTGTTTCAAACAAATACACTTTTACACAATGTAGTCGATTTAGAATGTATAATACACTCTAAGTGTTATTTGAGAAGGTTACTGTGAACTGAGAAAATCAAGGAGTGCTTTTTGGAGGTGGCCTTCTTTGATCTTCAGTACAGTTAGATAGCCTGGCTAGGGAAAGAACCTTTCTGTCATAGAAATAATAAAGGCAGACATGGAGGTGGAAATAAAGCATGTGTGAGTGCTAATGTGATGTTAATGGAAAGTTTGTGCTAGATAGGTAAAATAAAATGAGGCCTTTGGTATATGCAGGTGTTAGTATGTATTCAGAGTGCTGTATTTGACAGATTTCTGTGGGGGCATTTTTTAAATGTATTAACATTGAAAATTTTTCTTAAATAATGGAGCTGTTCTTCAAAAATACTGAAATACTCTTAAAATCTTTATTCTCAGGACCCAAGTCCGAAATATGGCAACTTTGAAAGATAGTAAGTGCTTTGTTTCTTTCAGTATGAGAATTAAAAGGCAAAATAAATAATAAAAATACTCTTAAAGATACACAGCTTTAACCCATTATACATTTAGTCGAAATTGATAAAATGAATCTGTGTTATATATGTAAGACATAGGAACTGTTTTTGAAAAGACCACTGTGAGGTAACACATGAGGAAATTTGGATCTGATTTTATTGTCAGTATAATTAGAAAATGTAATACTGATTGTATATGAAGGTAATATATTGTTAAAGGCATTTTCAATATCTTTTAATGTTTAAATGTATAATGTACTGTCACCTTATGTTGTCATTTTGTTTGTCCTAAGTAGCATTTAGATTTGCTATCCTTTTCTTAGTACTAATTCTAACATTTAACTTAGTTTAGCATTTTTTTATCCACTGTATATTAACAGTCAGAGTGGTACTTGTTTCACCTTGCACTTGAGAAAAATATTTCGATAAATTCACAAATGAAATTATTCTGAAATTCCTTTACCTTAACAAGGCACTTATATTTTTCAGTTACCAGGCGACTAAAGTCGATCAAAAACATCCAGAAAATTACCAAGTCTATGAAAATGGTAGCAGCAGCAAAATATGCCCGAGCTGAGAGGGAGCTGAAACCGGCTCGAGTATATGGAGTAGGATCACTGGGTAAGAGAAGAGTATAATTCACAAGCTAAAAAGATCTGTTTAACAGAAAGTTCACTAATTACTTTTACTAAGCATTTACAGGAGCTCTGGTAGCATAGTGCCTAAGGCACTTGACTGCTAACCAGAAGGCTGGCGGTTCAAACCCACCAGCCACTCCTC